CTATTGTAGGGACACAAACTATTTCCCAGGTGCTGCAGTTACTGGTTTCAGTCTGTTGTTGGATAAAATACATGAGTTCTTTTTATTTGAGGTTATATTATGTTTCATAGTTGAGAAAGCTAATAGTATGCCCAGTGTCCATCAAGACAGCTTTGCTTATAGGTAGAAACTCAAGCCATGGCAATACAAATACTGTGTACCAGATAACATTAAGAGAACTTGGTTGTCCACTGTCACATTTGGTGCATATTCAGAAAACTACTTCATCTGTGCTTTCTGGCAAACTGTTTCTTTACAGACTTCCTTTCATTTCCAGAAAGGAAATTTGTGACAGAAACAGCTGAGATTCTTACAATTCTTACAATATATAGGCAGCTGGAGATGGCATAGAGACCCTGAAAAGATGTTACGTGCTGTGTGTTAACTCAGTACTGCATGGGGCCAGGAGCAAAAAGAAAGGGGGGGGGGAAAATATACTGGCCTACGGCCACGCCACCATTGAGTGCTGCCATACCGGACATGCTAGAACTTCAGTATGAACTAGAGTCAAAGGCAGCCAAGTGGTATGCCACGATTGATATTGCCAATGCATTTTTCTCCATTCCTTTGGCAGCAGAGTGCAGGCCACAGTTTGCTTTTACTTGGAGGGGTGTCCAGTTCACTTGGAACCGACTGCCCCAGGGGTGGAAACACAGCCCTACCATTTGCCACGGACTGATCCAGACTGCACTGGAACAGGGGCAAGCTCCAGAACACCTGCAATACATTGATGACATTATTGTGTGGGGCGATACAGCGGAAGAAGTCTTTGAGAAAGGGAGGAAAATAATCCAAATCCTGCTGAAAGCTGGTTTTGACATCAAACGGAGTAAGGTCAAGGGACCTGCACAGGAGATTCAATTTTTGGGAATAAAATGGCAAGATGGACGTAGACAGATCCCCACAGATGTGATCAACAAGATAACAGCAATGTCTCCACCAACTAATAAGAAAGAAACACAAGCTTTCTTGGGTGCTGTGGGGTTCTGGAGAATGCACATCCCAAATTACAGTTCGATTGTAAGCCCTCTCTATCATGTGACCCGGAAGAAGAATGATTTTAAATGGGGCCCTGAGCAGCAACAAGCCTTTGAGCAAATTAAACGCGAGATAGTTCATGCAGTAGCCCTTGGACCAGTCCGGACCGGACCAGGTGTAAAAAATGTGCTGTACACTGCAGCTGGGGAGAACGGTCCTACCTGGAGCCTCTGGCAGAAAGCTCCAGGGGAGACTCGAGGTCGACCCCTCGGCTTTTGGAGTCGGGGATACAAAGGATCTGAGGCCAGCTATACCCCAACTGAGAAAGAGATACTGGCAGCCTATGGAGGAGTTCGAGCTGCTTCGGAAGTGATTGGCACTGAAGCACAGCTCCTCCTGGCACCCCGGTTGCCTGTGCTGGGCTGGATGTTCAAAGGCAGGGTCTCCTCTACACATCATGCAACCGATGCTACATGGAGTAAATGGGCTGCACTAATTACACAACGAACTCGAATAGGAAATCTCAGTCGTCCAGGCATTCTAGAAGTCCTCATGGACTGGCCAGAGGGCAAAGATTTCGGAATGTCACCAGAGGAGGAGGTGGTGTGTGCTGAAGAGGCCCCACCATATAATAAACTGTCAGAAAGTGAAAAGCAGTATGCCTTGTTTACTGATGGCTCTTGCCGTATTGTGGGAAAGCATCGGAGATGGAAGGCAGCTGTATGGAGTCCTGGACAACAAGTTGCAGAAACTGCTGAAGGAGAGGGTGAATCGAGTCAGTTTGCCGAGGTGAAAGCCATCCAGCTGGCCCTGGACATTGCTGAACGAGAAAAGTGGCCAGTACTTTATCTCTGTACTGACTCATGGATGGTGGCAAATGCCCTGTGGGGGTGGTTGAAGCAATGGAAGCAGAGCAACTGGCAACGCAGAGGTAAACCCATCTGGGCTGCTGCACTGTGGAAAGATATTGCTGCCCGGGTGCAGAACCTGGTGGTGAAGGTACGTCATGTAGATGCCCATGTACCCAAGAGTCGGGCCACTGAGGAACACCAGAACAACCAACAAGTGGATAAAGTGGCTAAGATTGAAGTGGCTCAGATGGACTTAGATTGGCAACATAAAGGTGAATTATTTTTGGCCCGGTGGGCCCATGACACTTCAGGCCATCAGGGCAGAGATGCAACATATAGATGGGCCCGTGACCGAGGGGTGGACTTAACAATGGACACTATTGCCCAGGTTATTCATGAGTGTGAAACATGTGCTGCAATTAAACAAGCCAAGCGGTTAAAGCCTCTTTGGTATGGAGGACGATGGTTGAAGTATAAATATGGGGAGGCCTGGCAGATTGACTATATCACACTGCCACCAACCCGCCAAGGCAAGCGCCATGTGCTTACCATGGTGGAAGCAACCACCGGGTGGCTGGAAACATACGCTGTGCCCCATGCCACTGCCCGGAACACCATCCTGGGCCTTGAGAAACAGATTTTGTGGCGACACGGCACCTCAGAGAGAATTGAGTCAGACAACGGGACTCATTTCCGGAATAACCTTATAGATATTTGGGCCAAAGAGCATGGCATTGAGTGGGTATATCACATCCCCTACCATGCACCAGCCTCTGGGAAAATCGAACGGTACAATGGGCTGTTAAAAACTACACTGAGAGCGATGGGTGGGGGAACTTTCAAGCACTGGGATACACACTTACCAAAGGCCACCTGGTTGGTCAACACCAGAGGATCTGCCAACAGGGCCAGCCCAGCCCAGTCAGAACTTTTACATATTGTAGAGGGGGACAAAGTTCCCGTGGTGCATATGAAGAATTTGCTGGGGAAGACAGTCTGGGTTATTCCTGCTTCAGGTAAAGGCAAACCCACTCGTGGGATTGCTTTTGCTCAGGGACCTGGATATACTTGGTGGGTAATGCGGGAAGATGGGGAAGTCCGATGTATATCTCAAGGGGATTTGATTTTAGGGGAAAACAGCCAGTGAATTCAATTGTATGCTGTTGCCTGCTGTGTAATACTTTTATAGCTCATCAACTAGATGTCTCCAGGTCGCCAGCGACTAGCCCTGACTTCCCTCTAACCATCATCCCAACAGAGAATGAATTTTGATAGAACCGGATGAGTTCCACAGTAAAGGAACGACCAGCATCAGCAGGCAACGATCCAATACTGCACACAGCCTTTCCTGCCCTGAAAGATTGTTACAAGAGATGGAACCTGACATCATGGACCGAATGGACTTGGCAGCATTATAGGGATTGGTCCATGAACTAAGAAAATGATCTCTTTCTCTTGGTCTGTGTGTATATGGATGTATATATGTGGGAGAGTGATGGTGTGTTGAAAATGTGGGATCTGAGCATGACGTGAATGGTATGGAATAAGGGGTGGATAATGTCCTGGGTTCAGCAGTAGCAGTCATGTTTTTCCTTTGTGTTAGCTGGTGCAGTGCTGTGTTTTGACTTCCAGTCTGGGAACAGTGTTGGTGAAGCCGATGTTTTCGGTTGTTGCTAAGTGATGTTTACCCTGACCAAGGACTTTGTGAGGCTCATGCTCTGCCAGGGAGGAGGGGAAGCCAGGAGGAAGCAGAGACAGGGCGCCGTCATGCCTGGGGTGGGGGGTAACTGGGCGTTACCCGGAAGGATACGGGCTTCCAGGGGGGACTCGTTTCTTGGCCGGTGGTATCGTATTCTCTTCCCTTGTTATTTTCCCTTATCATTGTTGTCGTTGGTGGTAGCGGTGGTGATTTGTGTTGTACATTGATTGCTGGACTGTTCTTGTCTCAACCCGTAGCAGTTGCACTCTTTCGATCCTCCTCCCTGTTCCTCCAGGAGCGGGGAAGGGGAGAGCCCTGGGGGGGGGGGGCCCTCGATTGCTCTCAGATGGGCACCACTCACTGGGAGTGAGTGAACAAGCTGTCTGGCTAGGGTTTAAACCACGACAATGGAGAAGTGAAAATATATGACATTTCCAGATTTTTCCTTCTTGGGAAAGATAACAGAAAGAAATATAAAAAAAAGGATTCAGGATTTGTGCTCTGAAGACTTACTAAGCTACCTTCCACTTTTCCACGTCTACCTCCCCCTTTTATGTCTTATATCTTCCAAAGGTTTCAGCAGCTGTGCCAAATACAGAAAACCACATTCATGCAGAATCCTATTCTCTCATGATATTTTAAATGTTATTTGCTTATTAACTTGCTGTTTTTTTCAATGGATTTTGGTAAACTGTCTAAATATATGTTCATTCCATTTATTTTGTTAGTTATTTGTGTTACTGAAAATATATTTGAATTGTTATATAGCTACTGGGCTACAGAAGTTTGTTCTTAGGTTAATCTTGGTAAAGGTTACTGTTCTCTTACTAAAAGTGACATCTGAAAAGCATTCCAGTTTTGGGATGAATGCTGAGGGTGTCAGTAGGAATATTTTTCTTTCTGCAGAAATTTGTACATCAAAATAGTGTTCTCCTGTGGTGTTTCAGGCCATGGGGACTCTAGGAAATTATATGTATTTTAATATGCTGGTAGCAGCCTTTTTTTTAAGTATGAAATATTACTTGTTATAAGCCATAGAGGGAGTTTGTTGCATTTAGTATGAAAAAATGGAACAACTGTTTTCTCAATAATGCTATTTTAGCATAGACTTTCTTAATCTTTGCAAGTATACCCTATCAGTAATTAACCACAGTAATAATTATGCCTGTATTTTAAACAGTGTTTTTATGCCTATGTTGCTTCCTTTCTACTTTGAAAATATACCATCCCTGTTGTACAGATGGAAAAACAGAGGCATCCATGGGAGGTGAAAGAACTTCACCTGAGGGTCTTCTAGAGGAAGACAGATCTCCTGGTCTCAAAGCAGACCCTTATGATTTTGTATATTAAACTTATGAAGAGGTGTTTTTAAGTTAACAAAACAGAAGTCGTGCATTAGAGATAACATTTAACATTTACTTTTCCTCCCACAGGAACTTTTTACTCCAGAGTGCAAATTCAAGGAGTCTGTTTTTGAAAATTATTATGTAATCTACTCATCCATGCTCTACAGACAACAGGAGTCCGGGAGGGCCTGGTTCTTGGGGCTGAACAAAGAAGGGCAGGTCATGAAAGGAAACAGAGTGAAGAAAACAAAACCAGCAGCTCATTTTCTACCCAAGCCATTGGAAGGTAAGGCTCAGTCCATCACTGGCAGATCCTCCAATAAATCTCACAAGAAGAAGAGGGAATGGTTTCTAAAATACCCTTTGTGAATGTGCGTGCCCTGCACAGGGACCATTCCAAATGACAGTCCCCAGAATTCATGGAATGAGTTTATGCTTCAGCATAGTGATGCCAGAAAGGGCATACATAAAAGCTTTTTTTTCCTAGGGATGAAGAGGTCATTTTTCAAGAAAAGAAATCTTCTGTGAAAGTGCATTATTCTCTTGGTAGGGACAAAAGTTGTTGTGAGTCTTGCAGTGAGAAAATAGTCCTTTCATTAGGCAGAATGAAATAATGGATATTGTAGAATAACTGGGAGTTATAAAGGGAATAGATGAAATGTCAGCATTTCAAAGTAAAAATTTTCTAGTACAAACCAGAAAGGTCTCTTCATAAAATAAATCATTCTGTATTGCTTAGCCAGTTGATGTAATGCACATAACTTGTGTTAGTTGGCCTTTAAACCAAGACAGAAGTGAATAAAAGTCATATAAACCTTACACATTAAAATGATGTCACACGTTCTCTGAAAAATACATTCATTTATATCTTGGTACTTTTGGGTTATCCTATGTATTCTGCAGGCCTTTATAAACATACGCTGTTTTTTGCTTCTTATCCTGATGGCACTCCAAATTTCATTGATATTACTGCTAAACATAGCCTCAGAAAATTATCTCATTACTTATCATCTGAAAACATGTACCTGAGTAATGTTTTACTTAGCAGTCCTATTTCTTTTAACATTTTATCTTAATTTTTTTGATTAAGGGATTAGTTTGTTAAATATTTTAGAGTTTCATCATAAGGAATGAATCTGAGTAATTCTGTGTTTTAACTTCCTACTTGAACTCAGGTTGATGCCTTCATGCTTTCCTCGTCTTAAGCTCTCAACAATATTGACACTATATCTCCATCCCTTTATATTAAATTTTAAGAATGGTATGGATGGAAAGCCAGAGCATTTTTAAAAGCAAAATCGATTCCTATAGATTGGGAAAGAAGTTACTTTTTTTCATTTATGGTTGGATGTTCATACTTTATCAAAATAGCTTAGACAAGACTTACTTAGAAATAACTCGCTTTATATTGCCCGTGAGAGTCATCAAGTACAACAGCTGTGCTATATAATTTCTTACTTTATAGTTCCAGCTCATGTTATTTGACTTCATATTTTCATAGGTTACAATGTTTTTTCATCAAGCTCTTTAATTAAACCAGCAAAGCGTCCTAAACACAGTAATGGGTACGCTCTGAAAACATTGAACATAACCAGCGTTATGTACTCTAGGGAAGACATTTAATTTCAGACTTTCAGAAGCCATGGAAGGAGTTAGATTATGTCATTGGAAATATTAGAACAAGTGTTTGATTAGTTAATGATGCTGTGGGGCCCTTCATATTTATTATGAAACTTCACACCGCTGAAGATCAAGGTCAGAACTTTGGTGCTCCAGCCTCTTACTCTAATTAGCCAAGAGATGAAGGGATTGTGCTCTCTATGGCAGCACACAGCCATTCCTGAAATCACATTGTGATGATTAATTCCTTTGACTGCTTTGACATCTCTTTTAATGTTGCTCTAATACAAATAAGTGCTACTGAAGTTAGTTATACGTGGGAATATTACCTGATACAGTGACATGGAAAATGAAATTGAATTATCCAAGAGCATTAATCATTAAGGCAGCATAATGCTGGAACTGTGTAATTGAAAACACGTATTTTCCTCAAAGGATTTGAAGAGGTTAGATAGGGACTGAAGCCCAGCGGCAAACTTGTAATTCCTCTAAGAATTCAGTTAACAGTTTAATTTGGAGTCTTCCGTGCTTCTGCATTCAGTGGAGATCAGTGGCTACTGCCTACATTTTTGGAAAAGAGGAATAAAAATCTCAAATCTCTTGTGTACTCTGCTGTTTTGTACTCTGTACATTTCTTCAGTATACACCTGAAGAGATCACAACCAAGGTCCTCAGATTTGGGAGACAGGTGTATAAATAACTTTGTAGAACTGGACCCAAGCTTAGCCTTGCATACAGGAGTAAAAAAAGAACACATTAGTCTAGACAACTGTATCATATGATCCATTTGTTAAACACCATCTGTCTTACCATATTTTACTTCTAAAAACTTGCAGAGTGTTTACTTAAGGTCTGTGTATATATATACACACACACACATGTATATACATATGTGTATATATATGTGTATTTTCGTGTGTCTGCCTCATGCAGACAGTAGTTTTTCATTCCCAAGGCTTCTGTAGTTTCTATTAAACAAGCAAGTATACAGTTTCCTCCTGTTTTTTTAAGTAAGTCAGATACAGAGGAAGTGAGAAATTTGGAGGGTCAGACAAAGCTATCAGCTATGCGAACAAGTGACTGTCGAAGTATTTTCCCTCATGCTTGCGAGAGGAACGTAGATTATATTGCAACATCAGTTGTTGTAGAAAATTAATCGTATTTGAGATGAGCTCTTAAATGAGATATATTCTTACAAATATCTCTCGTTTTCTCTTTTCTCCCCTCAGTTGCCATGTATCGAGAACCATCTTTGCATGATATTGGAGAAACAGTGCCAAAGGCTGGGGTAACTCCAAGTAAAAGCACAAGTGCATCTGCAATAATGAATGGCGGCAAACCAGTTAACAAGAGTAAGACGACATAGCCAGATCCTCACAGGTGTTGTGACTTTCTGAGTCCTGAGTACAGTTGAGCCATTTATCCTCGCCAGACTTCCCCGCTGCAGTGTCTGTGGATCAGCTTGCGGCAAGTCACAGACTTGCCCGTTGCTGTTTCTGAACTGAGTTGTTGCAAGTGGATAAATCTCAACATGTAGCTCCACCCACAACAAGAAGACACCTGGATGAACCAGCTAAACTCAGACCATGGAATGCCCTACCAGATATTGGAATGCCTTTTTAATATCTTTTCTGTGACTGTGACACTTCATGTGAATGACATACTTCACAAGTACACTTGATACCTTGCCTGCTGAAAATTGCCCATAATCCCTTTTTGAGTCCAGTTTCAGCAAAATCCATGTGTTTAAGTTCTATTTTGTAGCACACAAATAATCAAGTAATTTCTAGTTAGATGCTGTAAACCTGTGCTATTATGGATTTCTCTTCTTCCCTTTTTTATAAGGCTGCTTGCTCCACTGTCTGTGACCTTTTGCAGGGATTGTGTTTCTATATAACTTAAGTGTTGCCGGTGGCTTAGTTTTGAAAGCAATCAGGGAATCAGGAAGCCTTCAAAAATCTATTATTCCAAATTATATCTATAAAGAATAGGATTGTTGTCTCTGGCTTACAATATTGATTAAATGTGAATACTCTTTAGAGCAGATACTGTGCTTCTGAGGTTGGCATTATAGTGGAGGGAAGAGCGTCAAACACAACCAACAGGAAGTTTTCTGAAACAAGTGTTTGGCATCCCCCTTTAGTTTCTTTTTGTGTGTGTGTTTTATACATATCACAGGCTTACTGGTAATGGTAACATTTGCCTTGCCCAGCGAGCAAGACCCACTCATTTTTGGGAAAGTGGGTCCAAAGAATTTTGTAGGCCTTGTAGGCCTGAATTAAGGCTCATTTTTCATCTACTAAATCTTCATTGTTTGAAAAACAACCACTACCAATTAAAAAAAAAAGATAAAAAGTAAGTAAGACTAACCAGAATTGCGCTACCTAAATCCATTTCGAATATAATCCTTTCCTTTTTTTAAGGAACTGAACTCAATGCCACTGTTATTTTTGGCTGAATCCCACTCCTACTTAGCAAAGCATGGGCAAGGGTGTCGTTGTGTTCTTTTTTGCAGCACCAATGCAAAGGGTAGTTACAAATTATAGTTTAATATTTCTGGTGTTTTAAAAAAAAAAGTTTTAAAACTGGACATATTACAAACCTTTGTTTTTCTTTTTAGCTAAGCATGCAAAGTCCGGTCCTATGTATCTCACTGATATCCCAGTACATACCTCCACCCAGCTTCCTAGGATAATACGCCCACCAAATTGCTAGATTGAAGGTGCCTTGCCTTGATCTCTGTATACTGTACTTTCTCCTACATGAACCTAGAAGAAATCAAAAACATTATAAAATTGAAGCCTTGGATCATATTACCAGAAACAACATCAACCCTTTGAGTTTGCCACTTGTGAACTATTAAACCAATGTTGAGGAGGGAGGGAGATTTATAGAATACCCCAGAGATGCCACTGAAGTGTTACACGCTTAGTCACAAGCTTTCAGAAGACTAAAAATATGGGTACTCTATGTATGCTTAGGAAGGTATTTGTTTCTCAGAGAGGGCAACAAGGACCAAACTGTACCTCAGTCTGGAAAATTGTGTGACAATGCTCTCTTGGCCTCTTGCTGTTACCTTGATATTTAAAGACAAAAAAAAATGGAAATCACACATTCTTTTTTTAGCACTATATTTCTGGTAGTTTATCACATCTTTGTGCTGAAGTCCCTAGCAGAGACAGCAGGTTATTCAAACTCCCTCTCTGCTCAGCTGAACTGATTCAGTCTGAATGAAGTCTTCATGCTAGTTTTCAAACGTGTTCTGTTTTTATAAGCAACATTTAGTGCACTCTTCTAGGAGGCTACTGTAAAGCTGCTATAATATAGATTTTATGTTTTTTTTGTAGGCCAGACTTCCTTGTTTATATATGTACTATGAGAACAGCAAGCTAACACTTGATGTCGGGTCTTTCTAGGGAGGGAATGAGTTAAGCATGAAACCCACTATCCATGTAGATTAAAAAAATAAAATACACACCTACTCTAATACTGTGATAAAAATGCAAAGAAACTTTGACTTAGACTGTGCCCTTGCCTGCTAGCACTAAGTATGCGTGCTTGGGGAAAACAACACTTTATTAAAAACTTTGGTGCACCCTTCTCATCCCACCTGGTCCAGTGGGATTTGTGCGCCATCCCTGAGAAAACAAAACCAAACCAAACCAAAGCAACCTACATGGTGATCTGGGAGCTTGCTCTGCATCTGGAGGACCAATGGGAGGCAGCAGTCTTGATGTTGTACTGTCTGCTGGGTCCCTGATGAGGCCCCAGGCTTTCCCACAATATTTTGAATAAGATAATACAGCTGAAGGCTACACTCCTTCCTCTCTTACCTGAATTGTGTAAGAGTTCACGAGGAGGAAATGACGTGTTCATGCCCCATCTCCAGCCGTCTTTTCACTCTCCCAGTGTAAAAGCTTGGGAAGAGCAGGGCTGGGGACCTGGCTGAGCCATGCAAGGAGGTTCTGGTTCACGGCCTGATGCTACATAAAAATTGTTTTCAATATTAAACTTCTGATCCTGAGTCATTATGATCTGCAAACCAGCTTGGGAGGCTATAATTAAGGCACGATTTAATTTTTGTAAGCAGTTAGTACATACTGGAAATAATACAGCATTTTGTTCTCATTTTCCATTTTTGTTTCTATGGGCTAAATCCATATGTGAGTTTAATCCACTGAATAGATGTCCTAAAAATATTTTTTCTACAGTCTGTTTAAACATGGCAAAGGAGTCTTTGTGCTTTGTTTCCTCCCTTTAATTTTGTCTTGTTTCATATGTTGCATGGGAAGATGGCAAAGATGAACTGCATGTAGTAGGTCGTGTCTGTCAAAGGTCTGTTGGTCAGTATTTCTAAATTTACATACATTTATGCAAAGAGTTTGTCTGCATTGTACAATTTGTGTTTATTCTTATTTGTTGTATAACACAGATTCAACTTGATGAATAAAACATTTATATGAAGGCATACCAGAAAACAATAAAAAAGTTTATGTAAGAAGTAGAGCGTGCAAAACATCATTGCACTGGCCACAGGATGGTGAAACTTCATGTAAATAGGTTGGCAAACTCAGTTCTCCCCTTTTACCATGCCAAAGAAAATTTTAGCTCCTTAATATAATACCTCTCTTGCTGTTCTCCAGGATGAGACTTCACCATTTTCTTCCCTCTAAAATTAATTTTGCTGTTAAGTGAAAGCCGTTTTCAACTGTCTGTTACTACTAAAGTACTGTATAGTAAACCTGATGGAATCAATTTGTATTTACAGACTGGGGTTTTTGTACTTAACATGTCCAGCTGTCTGTGAATCTGCAGCGTTCCAGATCTTTTGCATGCTTGCTTTGTATTTTGTTCTTCTAGGTTTTATCTAATCTCTGAGAGACTGTTTGCACAGCAATCCAACCTCATCTTACCATTGCATATGTTAACAACACTGCACCTACTCATTCTGTCTTTCCTATTTTCTTAACCTGTATTTCAGCTACAGTTCTATTTGGCAAAGTCAGTCACACGTGCACGGATTTAGACGTCCAGTTTTAAGCAGATAGGAACTACTTCAACAAAGCACGGGTTTGTTGCACTTCAAAGATTTTATAAATACACAAGAATCCTTATGAGATTGTTCATATGATAGGGCCTCTGGAAAGGTGTCTATAGCTTTTAAGTGCTTTTTAGTTCACATAACACTGCTTTTGCTTTATTTCCTGGGGGGTTTAGCCACTCTCAAATAATTTTTTAATATACTGTCATTTTCATAAACTTTAACTTGTGTAGAGTCAGGTTGGTTCTTAACACCCTCCCTACACACACCTCCCCTCAGAATATAAAGCAGTTCAGTTTGACAATGGTATATACCTGAAACAATACTAAGAACTCTGACTTTTTCTATATATATTGGGAACCTTTCGATCTTGGTTGAAAACCAGTGTAAGCAGTGAGGTATGAAAGCAGGCAGTTTGGTCCATGCATTAAAAGTGCATCTATCTTGCTGATCCATCCGTTTGTTGGCATAAAGAAGAAATTATTTGGCTCTATTCAAATGGGAATGCACGTAAAATTAGACTAAGTAAGGAGATTATCTTTCTTTTAAAAGTCCCCTTAGATAAACTCCTATTCTCTGCAATGCTTTTTAAAATCTCTAGTAACAAGGGGGTTTTGTGATGACTAATGCAAATGCCATGACTTATTTTTAAAGATGTAATAAAATTTTTCTTCTGTTACTTAGTCACAGAAATATTCAACTTAGCTTTCTTCATGCTGGTATCATTTAGCTACAAAGTGAAAAAAGGGTCACAAGTAGGTCAATAATTTATAGAAGGAAATTAGTCCACAGCTGGTTTATAGGTGATATTATAGATATATTATATACAGTAGGCATAATCCTACAAGTTGATTGCAGAAGCATTCAGCACACTTCTGGATTGTGCTCTTTCTTTCATAATAAGAAAGAAAGAGTATAGTGTCTTTTGTTTATAAGGTTTATAAATCCAGCCAGTACAAAATGCATCCAATTTGGTTTTGTCGTATTTTGCCTTTTGCCACAGGCCTAAAAGCAATTTTTTACAGTCACTGGGTATGAAGAATCAAGCATTATGTTCCAATCCCTTATACCTCTTCTTGCTTTTACAGTTTATGTATCTGGAATTCCCATCACAGGGAATGAGGTGCAAAATCACAATTTATTAATACAGCTATTATTTTCACATATGTGGAATAATAATCCTGTTCCTTCTGATCTCATTTTTTAGCGAGGAAATGAGCCACAAAACAGATCTGCTGGGAGTTACATCACCAGCTACCTTAGCAGGAAGAGTGGGGGGAATGTTCAAGCAACGTTATAAGAAACAGAATAAAAATTGGAAAGGAATTTATGCATACCTTATATTTTTAGTAGTCTTAGTTATACTTCAAGGTTTATAGCGATAGCACCATTTTGTTTGCTAATTTACATTTTAACAAACCACTGACAGTAGCTGTCTTAGAATATTCTACTATTTTTTGTATATGTACTTTAACAAATGAGTTGGGTAACTTTTTCTGAAATGCTGTGGCTACATAATCCATCCAGTAGCCAAAATACTGGAGCTGATTGGGTTAAAAAAAAAAATAAAATAAATCTAACTAGAAATCAGAATAACCTTACACTCTTTAAGTATATAAATTTAAAGCAAAATACAAAGTAAAATGCATCAAATATGACATTGCAACCCTCTAAAGAATTGTTCTTATGCATATGAATACCTGAAATACCATGGCTGATCTATGGGATATATAAATCTGCTTACCATGCCATGAAACCATTAAAAGGCATCTACTGAACCTAGAGAGAGTTTTGATTATCTGCTATTTTCTTATTACAATACTAAATACAAATGGAAGGAAATCAAGGAAAACTTTGTATCTTTCATTATTTATACTCCGATTCAGCAGATGAATGTATATGTGGAAAAAACACTGATTATGAGATGATTAAGGTCAGCGATATTCATAAATATAAATAAAACCAACAATCTGTGCTCTCCACACACCAGGGTTGACTAAATGCATACATGTTAAAATCTAGGAAAGTATTCCTGTTAAGCTGTATAATTTCAAGATGAATTTGACTTTGAAGGTTCTTTATACTGTATCAATACATTTTAGAACTCTGCCTGATAATTTGATAACTTAAGAAGAGAGCAGCTAACAGCTTTGGGATGTATATCTCATTAGTTATCCGCATAGCTTTTCTAGAAGTTATGCACTGATGTTTGGTGATTAGACTCCCTGAGAATATGTGCTTCATAAACTTAAACTTTAAAAAGAAAGAATACAAGTAAAAGTTAAAAAAAAATGGATAAAAAAGGGAAAACTACAAGGGAAGGGGGAATAATAAAATAAGTTCATTTAAAATTTTTGCATTCTATTACATGTCCTGTACCATTGTACTTTCCTGTTTCAAAATTGTCCTTTTTAAAACAAATGTAATTTCTAGGCTAATCATGGAAATTCCTTTTTTTGTTGATATATAGTTCCCTTATTGCTGATTCATGTACCTCTTCAAAAATCAGGACCTTGGCATCTAAACCACAATGTTGCAGTTTGGTATTAAAAAGAAATATTGTCCAACCATTTAAACAATTTCTCGCTCAATCATGGTTTCACAAAATGTAAACTCTTCTGAACCTAAAATGTCTGTATCTTTTTTTGCTCTAAAGAATTCAAGGGCTGCCAAATCTACATGTAAAAAAAAAAAAAAAAACCTGAAAAAAGAGACTCATATGTAAATAAGTTAGGGAAGTCCCAATAGTTGTGCATCGTTCATAACTCAATGTGAATTTCACACTGAGCAGCATTTCACCATTGGAAAATAAAATTTTTGTTCATACCACTGCTTTGTTTGCATTTACTGCATTAAAACTTTAATTACTTTGTTGCTATTGTCTGAACATCTTTGGCTGAAACCCGGCTACTAAATAGCATAGCTGACTTTTTAAGTCAGTTGACCTTCAGGCTCCCTACTTCTATAAAATCAGTTAGATTCAATGAATACCATGTGGGACAGCGCAATCTGTTCCAAACAGTGATTTCTAATAGCATACAGAATTGTCATCCTAAAAGTCATTGGTGTAACAAATTTTCATTTGCTTTACTTTTAAGAGGCAACTGTACATACATAGAACATTATGATAAAAGTACATACGGGTTGCAGGATACATATTCAGAATAGGTAATCATATGTTTATATATTTATTAATTGTGTTCCTTATACTCCTATAGGTTATGTATTTGAAAGTATTGTAATATGTAGACTATATAATCAACTTATTGACACATTAACTGTAGAAACTAAGAAGTTCTCTTATGGACAAGGGTCTGTTCCAACACCTTGGGTCTTCATTCTATGGCTGTCAGGTAATTGGACCTCAGTTATCTGAGTACAATTTTTTGACCAAATAAAAAAATCATTAATATTTGTATAAACTTCTTTATAGCTTTTTTCAATTTATGAGCTGGTATGTACTCAGAAACTGTTGTTGGAAAATAAAAAAGGGCCAAACAATGTATTTGTCAAACACCACAAAATGAATCAAATTAAGCATTTGGCAAATATTCAACTAGTGCTGCACTTCTACAGGAGTACTGTTGTTGCATACTGATACAGGGAGGAGACAACCAAGTAAATAATGTTTAGTAGAAAGGCTTTCTTGCGCCCTTTCCAAAGGTTGCTCAAGAAACAGGAATTATGGGTGTAGTCTCGGTCCCACTGAATTTACCAAAATACTCTGGAAAGATCCACAGGGCCTTTATAGTATTTTGTGACTTCACATTTTAGAGCCTGGACTCTCCAGCTCCCAAGGCAATTTTAATTTTTTTTCTTTTAGTTCTCTTATGCATTTCTTTACAGAGCAGGCCCTCAGATGAGTGTTCTAAAGCTTTTACACCCATGTACGTGTGCATGCATGCACACCCACATACTGAGTACTTCTGAAATGAAATGTTCTAGCATCCTAAAGAAAAACAAACAAAAAACCTTCTTAGTCTTTGATGGGCTTTGTTAAGGGTATTCTTTTCCCAGCCAGATTTCACAAGCATTTCCGTTCCATCCTTCCCAGCACTCACAGTTTCCACAGCTACAAACACCATTACCTAGAACAGAATGAATAAAGGGCAATTATCATAATTGAAATGTAGTACATTAAAATGTGTTTTATGGGAAGTAAAAAGCTATGCTAAAGTCTGCATTGTTCCTTTATGGCTTCCCCCCCCATGTTTTGGGGGCTTTTTTTGGAAGGAAGCAATTACTGTCCCATTGCATTAAGAAGCCAGCCCAAACCTATACTTACAAAGCATTAATAACATTCTCTCAATAATTCCATTAGCAGAATTGAAAATATTTCAATTATGCCACCTCTACTTGTACCCCGCTGTTGAGGCTCTGTGTTCACACTGTACCTCCAGGTACAAGAAAAACCAAGATTACTTTTAACTATCATTTAGAAAGAAAAGGACATAAAAAAGTTACAAACAGAGTAGCAATAAAAACATCACTTTGAAACTGAAAAATTTTAAACCTAAATTCGCAGAAGTGCTATAAAAAGAAATAATATCTCAAACGCTCTATTAGATGAAAAATGTGTTGGCCCTATTTTGCAGTGGGGAAAGGTTACTTTCGTTTTATTCAAATATTCCTCATGACTCCTGGATGCTTAGCTGGAGACTTCTACAGCCTGGGTTTCCAATGTGACGAGTCTTCCCACTGACTTTATGAGAATCTATGAAGAGCTGCTGAAGCTGAAGACTCCTTGCCTCTATTTTGGGTACTAACCCCCAGAAAAGGACCCTTGCTAATAGGAGTAGCTGTGAGACAATTTATGAGTGTCAGCCCTCCCACTTTCACTCTAATTGGCTTGCAGATTTCCTCCACATCTAATAATTGCTCAGCAAAGATTTCTAAAATTAAGCTTTGTAACAGGAAGCAGCCAGTGAGTTAATTTACAATTCCCGTGTTCCTTCTTGTCACTAGATTTGTCATGAGGGTTTGGTGGCAGCCTACCCATTTCTATCCACATCTGCCACCTGAACTCTCAGACAATATTAAGGTGAAACTGCTTTAATCACTAGTCATCATGTCATAAGAAAAACTGTCAGGTATTTCAGCCTCCCGCTGAGAACTGCCTGATTGCCAGGAAGCTCTGTTAACCCACACAGCTATGCCACTCACCTACCAAGATCATCAGACAAGTGAATTTTGTCTATGACTTAAAAGCAATATGTACATAGAAAATCCAGTAAGAGAACAAAAGCTAAAGAAATCTCATGATCAAAACATCCTTTCCACACTGCGCGTCCTTTGCCAAAAAGCAGTAAATTGTAGTCTATTACAGTGAAAAGTCTTGATGGATTTCATAGCTGGCTTACTTATTTAAATTCATACTCAGGCTTTCAACTGGTGTTTTGAAACCTTAAGTTGATTATCACATTGCAAAAAGAAACAATTATAGCAGGTTTGCATAACCAGCAAACGCACTTCCTCCGTCAGTGGAGGAAGAAGCCAGGCTTTGTTTAATATAATCCCCATCAACACAGTTTGTTTCCTGAAGCAATTAAGTGTTAGCCTGTACTGCACCTGTGCAAATGAGACCTTCATGTTTGTCACAGTCTCTGTCATCGCATTCACAGAAATCACCCGAAATGTACCATTCCTGTGGTGAACAAATGCACTTTCCACAGTGGCAGGAACCTGAAATCACAGAAAAACATTACTCACAAAGAGCACTGGCATTTTCAGACTAGAGAATAACATGCCCAGACATACGCGTGCACACACACACATGTGCGCATAGGCACAAAATTGCTGCCTAAGAAGCTGTTGCATAAAAGAAAATCATCAAGCTAAAAGCTTTCTGAATAAAAGGATTCTTTTGACATGAGAGTATGGTGGGACGTTACTACTAATGCTTTGATTCTGCTATTTCATTTAATCAGGACTTGCATTTTGAAGCTTTTCTTTGGTTTCAGAGGCCTACAATCAGAGCTGCTCTTCCCAGCAACTGCTCTTTTTTTGACTAGAAAAGCTCAAATTGTCCCTGACCCACTGTTACTGAAGGCAATAAAATCGTACCCAGGAAGAAAATGGCCCTCCTCATCTAAAATCTTTAGGGGTGAGGCCAAAAAAGACCAGGGGTGCCTGAGAATAACAAATTTAGACCCCCTCAAACCCTCATCACCACAAAAGAAACTGCTCCACCTCCCATGGAATTTCCTCTAGGTCAGAAAGACTTTGTGCACATAGTGGTGACTCAGCAGTCTACTTGCTTCTGGAGAGTACCCCAGTGCGTCTCATTGGGATAAGCAGCTCTTCTCCTCAGGGATGTCAGGTTGCACCCCCACAAGCAAAGGGGGAACTTCATGGTGACTTTCGTGTGATGCTGCAACCCACCAAACACCAGAAACCTCCTTTTAAGGGAAGACTCAGAGCCATCTCTACCTTCAGGAGAAGGTTCATGGCTCTGAATCCTGGAAAGGGACAGCTGCCCCAAGGCAACCATGTCTCAGGAAGCCTGTAGAGTCAGAAGGCTGCAAGAGAGGCTTTTATGCAACTAAAAATGCCAATAGGAAATGGTAATTCCTCAC